TGGTTCCCATCAAGCTGCCCAAGAGATGTATTTTAATTTTAATAGAATTTATTTTCTGCATTGGCCTTTCATGAGGTGTTTGAGTCAGTAGTCTTACTTAGTGTCTCCCATAGGCAAGCACAGGGGTTGATGACACAGGTACCCAGGTTCCACAGCCTTTCTGGATCACATGTTCTACAAAGGAAATAGATGGAAAGGAAGAAAGCCACAAATTAATGAAAAATTGTGCTTGGAAAATTAGATCAAGTTCAGAGCCCAAAAAGGGTTCATCTCTTTCTTTTTCTTCCCTTTATTAACTTTGCAATTGACTCTAATAAATGTGTCAATGCATATGTGGAACCCCTTAAGCCCCACCAGGTTAGCACATGAAAACGTAAGTAAAGGAATTTGAGTACCATTCTGCACAAAATACACAAAGCTTCAAACGTGAATTCGCCCCTAGATTCTTCCCTAGTGTCCACTCCACTCAAGATTAGAGCAAAAGAATGAGGAGGCCAAGGATCATAATTGAATACTGTCTGGACTAATCAACTATCTTCAATATCCACTCACCTAATAGCTCATTTGGCACTAAAAAGTGTTTTATTACTAGGATGAACTCTGATAATATGATCTTTTCTAGCTAAAATAGCCCTTTGCTCAAAATATTTTATAATTTGACCTGAAGCCCCCCTCCATATTCTCAGTGTCATATCCATTTACTCCTACTGAGTATAGTTGATTTTAAAGCCATCTAAAAGAATGCAGCTCACAGCTCCATGGATGCAATTATTGTGACATGTGCCTGCCATGCTTATCTAGTGGAAATTGTACGTTGTCCAGAATGATTGATTTATTACTGTCTTTGTACTTGATTTTGTCATTATTCATTATTTTCTTTGTCAAACAGACCCACACTCTTCTTCATGTAATCACCCAGTCCTGTCTCTCAGTAAGCAAAGTAGCTGATGGCACTCAACATCCCACTGTGGAAACATGTAATGATAGCGCTTTGCAAAAATGGCTTCTAAGAAACTATACAAGAATGGAAGTTCTTAGAAATATCTTTGGGAATTCTACTGATTACATTCTCTAATACTTTTTAGAGGTTTGTGTTGCAGACTTTATTTATTTTAGTATTTTTTACTTAGTTCAGTATTACAAAAATTAGAAACTTACTTCTTTAAAGTGTGGTTAAGGAAACTCTCTCTATACTATTTCTCCATAGGTTTATATTTCTTTCTTTTTTTTCTTAACTTCTTAGCTGCTCCTTACTTGAGAGAATGCCTAGATTAGTTTTTAGTCTATCATTAATTAAGAGGTATTTTCTAAGTTTTCCTTTATTTCAAATATATAGGTGCATAAATATAGTTGATTAAATAAATGATAAAATGATATTTCTTTTTAGGCCAATTTTAGTCATGATTATATGAGAAAAGATTATGCAGCAGAACTTGAAGAAGAAGAAGAAGAAAAAAAAATACTAACACCCAGAAAATAGATTGTTATTGGAACACTGTAATTATTTAATTCTGTTCATTTTTATTCAGTAATTTTGGTTATATGTAGTAGTAGCATATCCTTTCAGGAATTTATTGTCATCTAAATCTGAAATAGTAGGCAAATGCATTATTAAAAGCTAAGATGCTTTTCAGTAACTTCATAAAGGAAGCTAATTCTAAGCATTTCTTTATGATAGGTAAGTATTATAAAAAAATTTAAATTTAGAAACTGTTGTTTGTTTCTCACTTGTATGATCTGTGACTGTCTTCTCAGTAAGCAATAAAGTGAATTATTATTCAGTTCAAGTCGATCAATTGCTGTGGAATTTCTATAAAGAGTGCAAATAAGAGCAAGTCCTTGTATTTGGTTTTAAGGGATTTGTCCAGTAAATAAAGGGTTTTACATTACTGGGTGTCACACTAAGAATACACAGAGGTTAGGGAGTTTTCTGGTTCAGATGAATCAGGTAGGGGTTGCTGGCGGAGGATACAATTAAGCTTGATAACAACATGAAGAATGGAGGTATGGGGAGGGGACGAGAAAAGGCACATTATTTAGATTGAAACTGTAAGTGAGACAAAGGCATCCCAAACAGAAGAACTTGAAAAGCTGGAAAAGTCATACCTTTTGCACAGAGAACGTCTGTACTAGGCCCTTTACATAGATTATCTTAGTTTGTTTCCAAAGCAACCATACCTGTTGTGTGTAATGCCCAACGAGGGGTCTTCTTAGTCTTAACATTCATTTCCTCTCACACTTCCACTCAGAGTTAGTTCTAAGGGGGAGAGCACAGCTTGCTTCCCTCAGCAGGAGAACTTGCTGCAGTTCCCATGGCAGTCCTTACAGCCTTCTGGGAGCTAGCTCCTCCACAGGTGAAAGCCTTGATGCCAATGGGCGTGGGGGTGTGGGCGTGAAAATCATCCTGGTTTAACAGCCTCATCCTCACCAGAGGTGATATCTTCTCTGCAACAACTCTATAGACATAGTTCCTAGGAACTCAATGGAGCATGCCAAATTACTAGTCTTTGCATTTATAGAAGCCCTAAATCTGGCTTCCTGTCAGGTATTTATATATAGTTTATGAGCTGCAGATAGAGTTTTTCAATCAGAGGTAATTTTATTACATAGACAATGTTGCCTGGAAACATAGTCAACATTTTTCTCTTATCAGAGTGCCAAGGGATGGCTTACTGAAGGTCAAATTTGTTAGGTAGAAGGGGAAAGATTACTTGTAAGCATTTTTAAGTAGGAACTATTTTCTGACAGTGAATCTGACTTTTGAGAATGATTTGGGAACTTGGCCAAATGTCCACAACTAGTAACCAGAGGAACAGAAACTCACATTTAGGTCTATTTGAGTCTTACATATCTGCTTTTCTCCTGAACTACATTAAAAATAGTAAGTTTTTTCATTGGTTGGCTGGTTGGTATCTTTGCAGCAGTGGGTTTTGACTGTTAATAAATTCCTTCAAAGGAAATATATATGCATCTTTCTGAGAAAGAATAGCATTAATATTTTTTAAATTGTCCTTATTTTTATATCTGACAACACATATTTAATGTGCTCCTTAAAGAAAAGTCTTAAAATATGTTATATTTTGACTTAAGATAAATGATAATTGATCAAGGCATTTTATTGCTATGATATGTGATAGATTAAATGAAACAATGTTAGTCTTTTTGGACTAGCTCAATTAATAATAACATTTAATGCATGTAAAATTAATACATTTTTTTAAAAAAGGGTATGATAGAAGCATACAAAGGTAAGTGACATTTTGAAAGAGAATATATTCACAAAGGATTTCAGGTATGTAATAGAAATGAAGACTTTTTTGTTGCTTTAACTAAAGCTTTCAGAAAAAATATGCTTTTAGGTTTTGTATCTGTCTGTCTCTTTTTTTTTCCTTAAGCTGACTACAGATTAAATTTGTGACATCACAGGCATAAATCTGCCATCTTCTTGTCTATCATTAGCCATATCTTCCTTTCTCCACGTTTTAGTATGAATAACTTGTTTTCATGCATTGAAAGAGCAACGATAAAGCCCTCAGTCTTGAAATCCCCTTCACATGTAATAACCTTGTTCTTTTCTTCTCTTTGTTTTCTGTCCAGAATCCTCCATCATCCATTCTGTCCTTTCTCACAATAGTGCAGGCTATGGTGTCTTCAGATCTAGTCCACATAAGTTCCAAATTATCTGGCTAGAGTTTTGCAACCATTTTCTTCTGCATTTATTTCTGTCCAGTTTTCAATGCAATAATAAGAAAGAAAGAAAAAAATGTTGTGTACATTTTATTTCTTTTTTTTTGGGGGGGGAGATTTTGGCTATAGGGCACGTGCGCTCGCCAGACAGACAGAGAGAGACAGAGAGACAGCAAGCGAGAAATCACCCCCCTGGGGGCATGGTCACGCCACAATCCCTTCTCCTCCATTCTCCTCTCGGGATCTTGGGCACGTACGCACACGCGCCCAGCGTGAGTTTTAAGCCACCAGGTCTGGGATGCGAACTGTGGTCGACTACGTGGGAGTCCAACGACATAGCCATTACGCTAACTGCTGGTTCCCAGTGTACCTTTAATTTCTGTAACGTACAAGAGAATTATCTAGAGTACTATTTTGAACTGTGTCTATAAATTATTTCCCATACATTCAAATACTTCTCTTCTTATTTGGGAATTTTTCCCATAATATGGTACAAGACATTGCTCATAAGACGGGGCAGAAAGATATGTGATTATTATATATAAAGCATATTGATTTAAAGGGTTTATCTGCAAAAACCTAAACTGTGATGTTTAAATGTAAATGGGAATTCCAAGTGAAGACACATGGTGACTGGTTAACATGGTACAATTGTTGGAATTACAAAGAAAGTATAAATATAGCATCAAAAATATATGATCATCATCCCCTGTTTTTATTTGCGATTGATATTTTTTAAGATCTTTAAAAATGCAGGCAGAACATGGTGAGAATACTATCAAGTAAGGCAAAGACAAATCATTCATTACCATGATAATCTCTCTTCTACAATGAGTCACAGTTGCAGATACTAAGACTCGTTCACTATTTTCAAATTGGAACATCTCTAGCAGTTTTGTTCATTTGGGTCACAGCTGTGACATCTATTTGCATGTTTACCAAGTGGAATAACACATGCCTAAGAAAACTAAGCTCTTGGGAAAGCTCGTTCATATGTGCAGCTCTCAGTTGAACTCAGAACTCACAAGTGGGCTTTTTGCAAAGGAGCCTGATTCTTGGAAAAGCATGATAAGTGTCAGGCAATTTCTTTATCCATCTGCAAATAAAGGTGTGTTAAACAATGACGTCACCATATCTAAGTTGTACAGTATTTAATTCAGAGACACCTGTGCACAGTCCTTTCTGCAAACATATTACAATGTATTATATTTTTAAAAAACCATAGGGGATATTTTAAAGAGCAGATTTAATTTGATGTTCCAGTGAAGTCAAAGATGGAACAGGCTGCACTGACTATTGGTTGTCTTTTACAGAGACTCACCTTGAGGCACGTTAACAGTAACCAATGTCTTGATGAACCTTCTGAAGAAGACAAAATGGTGCCTACCATGCAGGACTGTAGTGGAAGCAGATCCCAACAATGGCTACTAAGGAACATGACCTTGGGGGCATGAAGACTATTTCCCCGAAGCCATGAAAGTGTCTACACCCTTTTTTTTCCATTATTTCAGTGAGGGGGAAAATATTAACTTCGTTGAAATTGAAAGTTTTAAAAATCCTTTTAGTATTCTAAAACACAGTTGTTTATAATTAATTTTTAGGAATGTTTGCTTATTTCCCTACTAAAATTTGTATCGGATCAATGAAGCACATAAACAATATAAATAATATCAAACTGTTATTAAACATCAGAACAACTTGAAAAACAAACTGTGTTTGCTTTAAAAAAAATCGTTATTGTGCTCACATGTCAGAGTTCACTGGGGCGGGAGTATTTTATTAGAAGTCGTCGTAGTAATTAGAAGAGAGATAATGTAAATACTTTATAAAATATTTTCATCATGAAGTATTATCAATTGATTTAAAAATTTCATGGAAGTTTGTTAAATTTCCCTATCAACAACAAGGCCATATATGAACTTATTTCTGATCAGTGAATTCATTGTAAAACCAAGTTAATTCCAAGTTTTGTATCAGGAGAAACTCAACTGGATATGGAATTTATAGTCTTAGTAAGCATAACAGTTAAAGAAGAGGAAAAACTGAAGATTAAATTCAAAGTTCACGAAATCAAAATAAACGAGCAAGGCACTGAGAGGGGCAAGACGCAGCTAAACTGCAGCAATTAGATCTTTGAGAGAGGCGCCTGGGCTGTCTGCAGTCTTCCCTAACACAGGCTGAAGTTCAGTCATCTCGCTCCCAGAGTTCATGTTGGAAAGTTCATCCTGTCTTGTCTCTAAACTCTCCTGCTTCTCTTCACTCTAGAGACTGACTTGTCACTTATGCTGTACAGAATGATAGGTAAAGTGTAGAATTTTGGCCCTCATTTTTTCTGTCTGCTGTACTTCAAGATTTTAGTTAAGTTGGGAACCAGCAGTTAGAGTAATGACTATGTTGCTTAACTCCCACATAGTTGACCGCATTTCGCGCCCCGGACCCGGTGGCTTAAAACTCACGCCAGGCATGTGTGCGTGCGTGCCCAAGATCCCAAGAGGAGAATGGAGGAGAAGGGATTGTGACCATACTCCCTGGGGGGTGATTTCTCGCTTTCTGTCTCTCTGTCTCTCTCTGTCTGTCTGACGAGCGCACGTGCCCTATAGTAAAAACCTCTCAAAAAATAAAAAAAGATTTTAGTTAGGTCAGTATTCCCATCTAAATTTTATATTTAAAAAATATATATTCAGAATTTCATTTTGTGCTAAAATACAAATTCTAACATTTTCATCACCAGAGGAATGAACTCAGTACAGAGTCATTAAACTCTTATTTTAATTAAACAACCAGGTATCATTTGCCATTAATAATGTCCTAAGGAACACAGTCATAATTAGGCTAGCTTCATATGTTCTTTTTCATCTTAAAGTTTTGTGTTCAAAATATATGAGAAAAGGCATGAGAAGAAACGAAAATCTGTGACTTTTTGCTAATAAGTTTTTGTATTTGACATCATTTAAATGCTCATAAAATTACTGTACATACAAATTTGTTCATCATAAATGCACTAAGCAGCTAAGAGAAATTGGAGGAGGATGGGAAAAATGTCTTCTAGAGTACAGAATTCCACTCTTTTTGGCTCTCATCTTTACTTTAAAAGCTCTTAGAGAAAACATTCATTAATTAGACACACAAACTCTCACACACTTGTGCACACTCACACGTGTACACACACACACACACACACACACTGCTATATTATGGAAAGGAAGACATTTCCTGAAGGCTAGTAAAACCATGAGTGATTTAACCAGCTGACATCTGTTCCCCTTCTGACCTTAAATTAGTACAACTCTGTAGAATTCTGCAACCTAGAGCATTTAAGGTTTGTCTTGATCGTGAGACAACCCCAACCCCACATTCTCCAGGAATTTCTGCATCTCTAATGTCGTAAGAAAAATGTTCCAATGCCTGGACATTTTTATTCTGCAGTGAGAACTTACAGCAAACTTGGAAAGAAGCTGTGACTTCCAAGAGGTAGTGAACCACTGCCTCAACCTGATAGTGGCCTTTCAAGTCAGCTGAGACCTGACTTAATTCCGTTTTCCATTCTCATACTCTCTTCATCCCAGCTCTCCTCTTGTCCCAACTAAAGGAAGGTCAAATTTCTCTGCACAGCATTTTCTTAAAATAAAAAACTTAAATTCTCAAAGATTAGTTTATACAATATATTGTTGATTTAGCATCAAAATGCATACATTATCTGGGAAATTGTCAATGTTATATTTAAAAAATAATCTAGTTACTCTATTGAAGTTGAATGTGAAGCATCTCAATAGTATTTTAATATTTGTTCATTATGGCCACAGTGAAAATACAGGAAAAATTTAAACCGAACAAGTTTCATGCTAACAGAAAACTTTCAAACTGTTCAGATGTTTTGAACACATGACAAAGTAGTTTCTAACAAATGAAAAAAATGAAATATTAGAAAACAACCAAACTAGAAAGTTATACCTAATGTTTACTTATCTCCCCCAGAACATTGTTGTTTTCAGTACAGAAAATTAAGGCCAGACCAGCCCATAGCATGGTGGTTAAGGTAGCTGAATCCCACACGGCCCATGATAGGACTCAAGTCTCAGACTGGTAACTTGAAAAATCATGCAGGAGTGTGTGTGTGTGTGTGTGTGTGTGTGTGTGTGTGCCTCAAATCCCAAAAGGAAGGAGAAATGGAAGAGAAGAGATTGTGTCATGACTATTCACCATGTGGGATGCTTTCTTTCTTTCCCTCTCTCTGTCTCTCAGGCAATCACTCATTAATTGTGGCAATTTATACAAACACATATATATAAACACATATACTATATATGTGTTTTTTCCATATTTTATTTTATATTTTATTTTTTCCCCTTTTTTTACCACTCAATTGTTGTATATCTTTACAACATTAAAAACAAATTTTCTCACCATGAATACCCTATATGTTAGTCCAGTCAAAGAAATTACCATACTCATCATCTTCTCTGGTCATCCCCATCTCAGTTAATGCAACTCCAATTTTCCAGATGCTCAGGTCAAAAATATAAAGTCACTTCTGACTCCTCTTTCTCTCTCAATTTCATCTAATCCATTAGCAAATTCCCTTGATGCTACCTACTTTTTAAATATAGCCAGAAACAGATGACTTGCCACCACATCCACTAGGTGTTACTACCTCTAATCCTTTTCATTGTGATTTGCTTATGACTTGAGTCTGTTTTTTCACAATCCTTGTCCTGAGCAGTCTTTTCTCAGTACAACAGCCATAGTGATTCTGTTAATCACAGATCAATCATTTGACTTCCCTGCTCACAGTCTTTCAATGACTTTTATCTTCCTCCACTGGCCTTCAAGGTTCTTCATGAATGACGTTCCTGTCTGCACACACACACCCAGAGGCATATGCACTCACACACACACACATACACATACACACACACTGCATGCTTCTGATAGGTCACTTACCTCACACCATTCTGCCTCTTACTCCATTCTGGTTTCCAAGCAAGTTCCTGCCCTAGTGTTCAATTCCTTTTGCCCCTCCCCTACTTTCTGTAGGTCTCTTTCAAATACTATCTTATCAAGAGGGCAAACCCTTCTCCTGCCTCTTCTCCCTATCCCCTGGACCTCTAAGAAGTTAAAAGTTCACTGTTTTACTTCTTTCTCCTCTTCCACCTCCTGCACGCTCAACACCCATCATATACCCTGGAATATAAGTCCCGTAAAGGCAGGGACCTTGCCAATTTTGTTCACAGAGTTATTCCCCCTTATCTAGTATAGATCTTGGCATTTTCCAAGTATTCTTTAAATGATTACTGACTTAACAAAAAAAGAGTTAAACTTGTGTCATATTTTTTAGTATTTTTATTTTTTAAATAAATTCTAGTAATTGATTTAGGCAGGATTTGCATAACTTTGTCTCCAGAAAAACAATTTTTCTCTGTATAATCTTCATATTAAAAAATGGACTATATGTTGTCCTCTGTGATAAAATATCCTGCCTTAGAGAAATGAAATGTGTCATTTCATAAAAAATGCTGCTATAGTATATAATTTACTTCATTAAGCTAAAAGTAATTTTCTAGCTTTTTTGGGGGGGGAGAAAAAGGGATTGGGAGGGGAGTTGTGATCAATATATTATCTGTAAGTGTTAGCTTTTGACTTTGGGTGAGAGACATGTATTCTTTTCTTAAAAGTTATATGTATTTTCTCAGTTTCAGAGGAGCTCTAGCTAAGTTTAGTTTTTAAGTGCAAGTCTGTGAAAAAACCTAATTATAGCAAGTTTCAAGAACTTTACAGATGATCCATCCCTAGTTTCTCAGCTCATAGAGAGTAAGACTGAGATCCAGGTGTGTAATATAGCATGCCCAAGAATTAGATGGCTGCAACAGCATTGTCCAGACACCTCTCTGCTAATGTAAATTAGTACTGCCACTCAAAAAAATATACAAAGGGCAGAATAAAGAGAAATATGTCTTTATTAAACATAAGACTAGTACATTGATTCCTTAGAGGTATTTAAATTCTTCCTACCTTTTTTGTTTAAATAGAATTAGTTTTATAATATAATACCACAGGCAATAAGTAAAGACTTGCAGCAAAGATAAAGAAATTATCAGGAAATGGCATGATTGCAGGACATCCTAGCCTTAGTGGGCAAATTGGGTTTCAGGGAAGCAAAGCCTCCTCTGTAGTAACTAATGGACCATACACTTTGCTCACTTCAATTTTCCTTGTAATTATCCTTAAGTTAAAAGTGAGCCTGGCCCACAGCTTGCACAGAGAATTAGACTATCTGTTACAGTGAACATTGGGTAAGTTCTGTGTTAGGCAGCATCAAAGACAGCAGAGCAAATCAGCAGAGATTTCTGGGCTCTGCAGTGGAGCTCTGCAGACTCCAGTAAACAAATCCCATAATTTTGATTTTGCCATGGTATTTTGAAACAGCCTAATAAATAAAAAGGAAAAGAGGAAAAAAAACAACCATCACAATAAAACAACAGCACCATTTTTGTTTCTTTTTGTTTTGTAGAAGATTACAAATAGTGCAAATGGGTTCAGTAAACCTCAAAATATTAGCTACCATCTTGTTTTCACCTCTTGAAAAGTAATGATTCAATGTTATTACAATCATTTTACTTGAATCTTATCGATAGATGCTAAATCTAGTCTCAGAGGTGGCAAAACTTGGTTGCATTCTTTAGGTAAAAAGTACACCAATATCATAAACACAGTTTATGAGTTGTGATGGGTGCGTCACCATCTGCAAGCTCTCATTCTGCAGAGCAGATACCTGCAAGTCTTGAGTAAATTGTCTGCTGAGTTGG